CATGCTCCAGAAAGGACGGCACTCAAAGACGCCACATGGAGTGCACTGAGCCATCACAAAACACTGTCTCCACAGGGACAGCGCTCGAGGATGCCGTGTGGAGTGAAATGAGCCATCACAAAACACTGTGTGACTCCACTTACATGAGGTCCCTACAGTGAACAAAATCCTAGAGACAGAAAGTGGAGGCCGGGCGCGGTGGCTCACACCTGTAATCTCAACACTTTGGGAGGCCAAGAAAGGCAGATCACGAGGTCAGGAGTTCAAGACCAGCCTGGCCCACATGGTGAAACCCTGACTCTATTAAAAACACAAATACTAGCCAGGCATGGTGGCAGGTGCCTGTAATCCCAGCTACTCGGGAGGCTGAGGCAGGAGAATGGCTTGAACCCAGGAGGTGGAGGTTGCAGTGAGCCAAGATCGTGCCACTGCACTCCAGCCTGGGCATGCCCGAAAGCCCCCCCCCCCAAAAAAAAAAAAAAAAGTGGAGTGAATGGGAAGCTGTTTAATGGATTCAGAGTTTCCTGAAGATTTGCTGTGCAGCAGTGAAAATACACACAGCATTATAAAGCGGTACAACTGGTTAAGACGGTAAAAACATTATATAAATTTTACTACCCCACCTCAAAAAAGCTAACAGATGGATACAGAAAAAAAACTCACAAATTTTCTTTTTTTTTTTTTTTTGAGATGGAGTTTGAGACCAGCGTGACCAACATGGAGAAACCCCATCTCTACTAAAAATACAAAATTAGCCAGGCGTTGTGGCGCATGCCTGCAATTCCAGCACTTTGCAGTATCCACACCCCCGTCCACGGCAACATCATCCACACCCTTATCCACTGCAGCATCATCCACACCCCCATCCACGGCATCATCCACAGTCCAGACCATGGCATCATCCACACCCCTGTCCACAGCAGCATCAGTCACACCTGTCCAGGGCAGTATCCACACCCGTCCACGGCAACATCATCCACACCCTGATCACTTGAAGTCCAGGATTTGAGACCGCCTGTCCAACATGGTGAAACCCCGTCTGCACTAAAAAAAATACAAAAAAATTAGCCGGGGCATGGTGGCAGGCGCGCCTGTAGTCCAACTACTCGGGCGGCTGAGGCAGCGGAGAATGGGCGTGGAACCCCCGGGGATTGGCGTGAGCTGCAGTGAGCCGAGATTGCGCCCACTTGCACCTCCCTAGGCCTGGGGGCGACTGAGTGAGACCCCTCTGGCGTCCAAAGAAACAAACAAACAAAAACAACACATTTATATTATTATATAAAATCAGTTGGGCATGGTGGGTGTGTGTAATTTCCCAGCTACTCAGGAGATGGAGGCACGGAGAATTGTGTCTGAACCTGGGAGGCAGATAGTATTGCAGTGAGCCTGAGATTTCACCATCTGCACTTCTAATTCTGGGCGAACAGGAGT